CTGCTGCCGGCCTGAGCTGTTGGCAGGACACCAGCCTTGGAGATACCAGAGATACTGGGCAGCGGGAGTCAGGCGGGTTGCAGCGTGCTGCAGGGGAGGCGCGGGGCTGCGGAGGGGCTGTCGGGGGCGAGAGGAGCGTGTCTCCCTCTCCGTCGGCTGGCACTGGCTTGTGAGAGCTGATGGGAAGGGGTTCCTGAGTGACTTACCGGCTGTGCTTGATCTGTGGAGATACCCTGCTTCTAAATATAAAAATGACGTGCTAAACCAGATGCTGCAGCGTCCCACAGCAGCAGCTTTGCACTTCAAAATCAGCTCTGTATTTTCGGAGGTATTTTTACGGTGCAAGCGCAAAAACCCTTTGGTGCTCCATCAAGGCAGTGCAGGATGAAAAGCAAGAGAACAACAAAAACAAGCACAAAAAAGGATGTTATTTGGCAGCCTTGAATGTAACAGCTTTGATGGAGATTGTTAGGTGCAACTGCTGCGTCCAGCCCTCTTTCAAGTGCGTTTAAGAAGGAGAGAACAGTGTCGCTGGTGAACAGCGAAGCGTTTGTGGTTCTTCTTGGTGCCTATCTTGGCTCTAAGAAGATTCCTCTGAGGCACTTAGTGAAAGTCACAAATTGGCGTAGCATTTTGCGAGGCCTCAGCTATAGCCAGGGAAATCACTTTGTGGGGCTGGTTTCACTAGGTGTATCTCCTGAGCTTGGAGACGGTGGCTATAAGAAGTCTCGGCAGTGATTATTACCAACAAAATTAAAGCTTTGGAAAGGTGGGAATTCCTTCCAAGTCTTTAATCCTAGCAGCATACAGTAAGTATAAGATACTTGTCAGCAATGAAGTCATGTTAGCCCAAGCCTACCTTTAGCAAGCTTAGGGAAATGACTATCATTATGTGTTTGAAAGAGTGAAAAGAAAGTCCAAATTTGCACTAAAGTAAAAGGAGTACATCCTTGGTCAACCTGATTAGGTGGCTTTGGATGGGGCGAGAGGAGTGAAACCACCAGCCTCTCTCCGTACAGGTCCCCAGTCCGGCAGCATCTCAGCACTTTGCACATCTTTACTCAGCACCCCTGATGTGAAGTAGAACGCGATGGTTACCCTACCCGAGACAGTGGAAGCTGAGATGTAGAGCTGATGGCCTTACTGCTTTGCTGTTAACGTGCTCCCGGGCATTGTGTTGGCCTGTGCCAGCTGGTACTTCATCACAGTTTGGGGAATTTTGTTTCCCTTTGCCCTTCCCAGTCTTTCAACACATTCTCAATGGGCTTCACACTCCTGATGACCACCTTGAGCATTGCTCCAGAGCCTGCCGTGCCTGTTCTCATGTCATAAAACGTTTCATGATACAAAAACAATTTAGTGGACTGAGACAAAACTTTCATGTTTTTTTCCAGCTTTTAGAACTGCCTCCCCCATCCTCATCCCAAAAAAGAGTATTTATGTCTTAGTGCCATAGGGGTACCATACAAAGGTGGCCCAGGGCCAAGTGTAATATGGTGTGGGACACAGTTTTTCCTCTTGACCTCCGGGCCAGTGATCTGTCACCGTTCCTGTATTATTTAACAGTGCAGAGGTAGCTCTCTTGTTCAAAGTCACCTAATTGAACCCCATAGCCAGGAGGGAGATTTCTGCCCACGTCACTGTTGACTATCCTCACGAGAATTTCGTTTTGTATTTGCCAGTGAGTTTTTTTCAGCTTTTGAAAAGTTGCCGCTGAGATATTTGCATGATTTTTAAGACTCACCTGCCCTGGTGCTAAAAATACTGAAAGGTCCTGATGGCCACTTGTAGGTAGCTTTTGACTAGCCTAGTTCCCAAAGAGATTCCTGAAAGCAGGAGACGCCAAGCACAGAGTGAGTCTGAGACTATGGTAATGAGCTTGTGCCTTTGTGTTTGATTCCTGAATCCAGCCACTGCATATTCAACTCTTTGTACATCATTGTATTTTCTATACAGACTAAATTTGGTAGACGTTGTCAGTAGCTGTAATTTTTGTGGTGTACTGACCGCTGCTACTGGGAAAACGCATCCTCAAACGTATCACAGAAAGGAGATGCCAGAATCACAGCTGGACGTGTGTTTTGTTATAATGCCTTATCCATGGGTTCTTAACAAGTACGTGGTTTACTTTAAAGAGAAAAAAAAAAAAGGAAATTTCTCCCTTCCAAATTTAAACCTTAAATTGAACTGTGGGAGTCACTTTCCACTAATTGAGAAGGAGAGCTTTTTAATACTGGAGAGACAATTATATTCAATATGCACAAGTGATTAATATTCACAGGGTGGCTTTGGGGCGCCCACGCAGCTGTTCTGTTTTTCGTAACATTTTAACATTAAGGGTTCAGATCTGCTGAAGCGAGACTTCCCGGAGAGCTCTGCTGGGATCCTGTTTGGCTTTTGGAGCTGATGTCATGTAGGTGGAAACAGCTTAATTGGCTGACATTTTCACCCATTTTTGCTTGAAAGGAGACAAGCTCCTGTTGGATACAGCTTGTTCTGACTGTGGGTTGTGCGATCCCCGGGATCCTACAACCTGCTCGTTGGGTTCCAGATTTTGTGAAATGGCCTTGTTGTGTCCTGGTTGCAGCTAAACATCTGCCTGCGGGAGACTCCTAACTCCTCCTCCGCCTGGTCCTGGTAGATGTTGAGAGATGAATGTAAGCACATGCTCCCCTGCTGTTATGATCCCTAATTGAAGTTTCTGGAGGGGAATTGGGGAATGGAAACCTCGAGATAACAGTTTTGTGCCACTTCCAAGCCCGTCTTGACACCTCTTTATTCTGTGTTCCCCCTTTGTGGATAATTTTGTTGCTCTTTTCTCTAGACCATTAAACTGAGGGGATCCAGCCTTGCATAGAGCATGAACCTCTTTTGACATCTCAAACTCTGTAACAAGGGTAGTCAGGTGAAGACGTCCTGCAGGTACAGAAGATGTTTTGGTCAGGTGGCAAAATCTACTTGCCAGGCCGTGGTGCCGGCAGTGTGTCTGTTCATTGGTGTCTGCAGCAGACTGGCATGAGCCAGCCTTACCTGATGGTGACTTCGACCCTACAGGTCCTGCTCCTCCCCCTCTGGTTTTCGTGATGGTCGAGATGGTGATGGCAGTGGCTATCAGAGCTGGAGACCTCCATGAGCTTCCAGTGCTGGTATTTGCTTTGTAGAGAAGGCATTAAGAGTAATCCCAAGCAGGTATGAAGCTATGGGTGGACTGTCTTTTCTAGGGCAGCAATGGTATTTTACAAGCAGTATTTAGAGCATGCTGTGACTCCCGTGTGCATTAAAATCCAAGGAGACACAACAGCCAAAGTGCTTCCGCAGGGTCGACCACTCATGTACAAGAAGAGTGACTTGCTCCTCTCTGAGCTTTATAGCCCAGCCTGTGATTTCTTATGGAAAAATCAGTTCCGATGTGAGTGTTACAATGGTGCAGTCCAAGTTTTTTACATAACTTTTGAGATGGAGCAGCAAGAAGATGTCCCTCAACTCTGCAGGGAAAGCAAAGGTTTTTTTACAGCGTCCAGTTCAGTGTTTGTTGTGAAACTGAGCAAGGGGAGAGTGAACAAGCTTCCTGCCTGCCTGACTTGGAAACTGCACCTCCTTCAGCGCCAGCCCCAGACTATGTCCTTGGCGCGTTAAATCCCCTTTTGTCCGATTT